TTATAATGCTATAACTTATTGAAAAGTGTATTGATCAATATAATTTTTTTATGGGAAATACTATTTTTTAATAATCCCTTTTTCATTCGACATACTTTATCTTAATCAGGATATTAATAAGGAACTAGCAGTTTATGAAGCTTTTGGAATAATCCACCAATTTTTTAAAATTAAACACTATCTAAAGATTTGCATCGAAGCGTTTTTTTTTGATAGTGATTTTAATCACTGTCAGATATCATTATACTTGATCCAACTATGCCACGTCACCACTGTGCCGCGACCCCCCTGTGCTGGTTTTTTTTTCTTTTTGATTGCGTAAGAAGGAATGAGAAAATGTTGAAATCTTATTTTGTAAAATAATTGAAGTGTGTGATTTTTTAAGATGTTATAAAACAGTCTTAATCTTCCAGTTAAAAAACTTTGTTACGATTCTGGAATTTGAACAGAGAAACATTTTAGACACATGAAATATGGAATGATATGAAATTAATAATTTTGAAATGTTTAAAGGCAAGTATGTTCATAAACTCAAAATTAAGTATAATTAAGTGAAATGTCTTATGAGAGAATACGTACTGTGTGAAGTATTTTTAAAAATGATAAATTTAAATTTATTTATGTAGCATTATTATTTTTATCATATTAGTGTTATGGTTGTAGTTCGTATTGCTCGGTTTTTCTGAACTATCAGAGTTATTGTGTATGTGGTTTAGTGGTATTTCTGTCATAAGTAAACTTTTCTTGTGTAACCTTTTAAGTGAAGCGTTTTTATTTGTTTAATTAAGTCTGTCAGTATTAATTGACGTCTAAGTAACTTGTATATTATTATTGTAACTATTTAGCGATTTTTCTGACAATTATTAAATTTCATTCACCATATTACAGTGTTTATTTCATTCCACTTAATGGCTACATTTGTGTTATTTAGTTTTATTTTTAATTAAAATTTCCAATGTGAATTCCCTTTTTACAATTTTGGACAAAAATTTTCAATAAGTTATTGTTTTTGGCAGTTATAAAATAATGTACGTCAACATTGAAGATCGAAAGAATAGTTCAGAACACATTTTAGTTTACGGGATTTCGATATTGTCAAATAGTATTTATAAAAAATGAAAATTTATTATACAAAAAAACGTTTTTACATTTACTTCTTATCATGTATAAAATATTTTTGTTATGATTAAATAAACCTCAAATGTAAAATCTTCACTCGAAAAATTCTATTTAAAAGATAATGTTTTTAATCTTCTTATTACAATTATTTTTTAAAGATTAAAAAAAAAATGTTTTTTTTTGATAAAAATATAGTGAAATTATTCAAATAAATTTTAAAATTAATGCTAACAAAATATCTGATGGCAATTAAAATTGTTATAAAAAATTTCAATATGAATGTTTTTTTAAGAAAAATATTATTTTTTTAAGAGAGTGTAAACTTTTTACTAGAGAAGTTCTCTATAATCGCCTGTACAAATTAAATTGGAATATTTTGTCACAAAAATAAGCAAATATTTTTGATAAAATTTCAGTTTGGCGTACAATTTTTTAAAGTTGACTAATTGTTTTTCAATTTCATTTTAAATTATAAAGTATGTTATATAATCTTTAATTTAAGATTTGAGTGCAAACCTTCTCCGTATCTAGACTTTTATCGGATTTTCAAAAATAGTATACTAACAGATGTTTTAGATATTATATAATATTATTTATCATAATTTTAAATCGATATAATTTTTTTTTAAAGTTCCAGTAGATTTGAATTATAGAACATAATTATTTTCTGGAAAGTAATAATTATTTTTAAAAATGTCAACAAAATGATTATTCAATCAAAATTTACAAGAGTTCTCGGTTAAATCTAGTTCAATCTATTTATACAAATAAATTTTTAAGTCATTATTATAATATTAAAATAGTATATAATAAATGTAATAATTTCATGATGATACTAAGTGTATTGAAAACAAGACTGAAAATACCGGTTGGAAACCCAAAATTCTTTGGACACACTTAAACCCAACCTCGACGAAACCTTAATTTTTAATATTTAAAAAACCGAACCGGAATCAAAATCCAATCAGTTGGATGAAAAAATAAACTTTAAGGTTTTTAAGGGTTATTAGATGGGAGAATATTTTAATAATTTTAAATGATAATTTTTAAATTTAAAAGTAGAATTTCATTTTGAGAATTCGGAATCTTTAAATGAAGTCAATATCAGATACATTATGATATTAATTTGAATTATTATTGTGGTTGTGACATATCGTGTTTTGTTAAATATTTCCAGAGAGATATTATACGTACTATTGTCTTGGTTTGAGTCAATGCGTCACGACAGTAAAAATAATCATCTAAGTATTTTAGCTTATCTACCAAATTCGTGATTGTAAAGCAATTTGAAATCTTAATTATAGATAGAATGGTTACACTTCAAGAATTGATTATCTGCCTGCAGAATTTTCTACCAAAAAAACATAAAAACTCACTGCATATTTGTATTCTTGGTGGTCATATAATCATATTATTCGATAGCATATGATGAAATCACGATTATAAATAGAATTCTATCTATATTTGTCATTAACAGCGCTTTTATCATATGTCAATGAATGATTTGGTCATGTGACCACCAAGAGCGATAATATGAAGTGAGTTTTTTTAATTGGAAACCTTTTGACCGTAGATGACGGTAGGATTGTATAGATCGCTGTGTAATTATACTGTCTATAATAGTGTTTTAAACTGTTGCACCAGTTACATAGCACGAAACACGTGTTCTTTGTTAATTTGAATTTTAAAGAGGTACGTATAATATTCATTCGTGTCGTAGCAGGTTGGTGCGGTGAGTGTCGGTCTACTTTTCCTCGTCTAGAGCGCGACCTGCCACAACTGGTTTTGCTGTTGGGGTAGTGTGTGACGGAGGTCAAGAAAGCGTCATTCGCGTACCGGTCTGCCTAGAGTACTCATGTGTAGTGTCACGGATTCGGTCGTTGTTTTGTTCGGCTTGCCTTTGATGGTTTTTATAAGATATATGATAATTCATTGTAGTTATCATATTGGATGACATATAATTGGGAAATAAATTACAGTCCACTCAACGAAATTTTTTTAATTTTACTTCTTTTTTTATTTAATTTTAAAGGAACTTTTAGAGACGCGATTTCACTCGGCGTCCGAGTATCTCGCGTCATACAATATGTGACCAGTGAATTATTTGCGTTTGGTGTATTTAATTTTTTTTAGTGTGAAATATATACAGATTCTATTGTTCTGTTAGGTATACGGCCTTCTAGGAATTGTTTGATGAACGTTTATGTTCCACGATTGTTTGCAATTTATTGTAATAACATAAATAAATATTTTAAATATTAAATTTATACAGCTCGATTTTTAATATTAAAATATTTATTTCTAATTAATATATTACTTTTTAATAACAATAGTTTATTACTAATACATACATTTATAATTTGTTAATTTAATTTCCTTGATATGAATTTAGTTTAAGTAATTCGCCAAAATTATATAAATAATTTAATTACACAATTTAAAAAAAAATGTATTTACAATTGCATATATGTTAAATTAAAAATTATTAATACACTTTAAAATGTCAATACTTAAATTTTAGAAAATAAAATGTTACATATATTATATATAATTTTATTTTATTTATTCATTTTAAGTTTAATCAATATAATAATTAAATATAATTTATTAAATTATGTTACGTATAAATAAATATATCAATCAATAACAAATTTAATAAGATTTTAGTTCTCAATTTGAAAAAATGTCACCCTAGGCCATGATCTATCCCTAAATACGACACTGTTTGGAAAAGTTGTAAACATACAAATACATGAATAATTTGCACAAAAAACTTAAGGCAAATTTTCAAAAGATGGTCTATTACGAGGTGCAAGGATGCTACAATAACCCGCTTGTCGTCTTATTATATAAAGTTCAATACCAACAAAATAATTGTTATATGTATGACGACTTTTAATTATACTTACTGAGTAATCAAAATATAATATTATGTTTCAATTTATATAACATATTAATTGAAAAATGGAAATTAATTTATAATGGTAAATATAATTTTTTTAACATTTTATATTTTATTTTTAGACAATGTAATATTTAAAACATAAAAATTACATTTTTCTGCACGTGTTCAAACAATAAAGGTAAAAATCCCTTATAAATAAATGAATTATTATATATACAATGTACATATAAATGAAATTTATACAACTTCAACTCATGTTGTCATCAATAACTATATAAGTCTATAAATTTTATTATTTATTAATTGGGTCATTTATGTATAAATTTAATGTTTTACGATAAAAAAATAAATGTGAAAATAACAACTAATTTTTTTAAATATGATAACATAAAATACTTACATAAATATACCTAAAAATGTGTAATATTTAACTAAAAATTTTTGTTTGTAAATTTTAAACATTTTTTTAAACTAATTTATGTTTTGATAACAACATAATAAATTGTAATAATATTTATTATAATAAATATATTTTATTAATAAAAATATATATTAATTTTTTTTTATGTCCCTAAGTCAATTAAGGGATCTCATTAAAACTGGAGGGCCTTAGCTCCCCATTTCCGATTATAGCTATTTCTACGTATAATTGATTTGTTTAATAAATTTAATTAATTAAAACGATTTTAATTTAAAATTATATTTTAGGTAAATATGTTTATCTAATAGGCAAGTATAAGGGTCAAACCTCTCTATTGATATAAATGATCGACCGTTCGACCCACCGTTCGCTATCGGTGGTTCTTATCATCCGTTGTGAACGAACGTTTTTTATTGTTCTTTATTGTCGTCCGTTCGATGTTTCATATGTTCCGAACGTGTTCATGAACAACGTTCGCCATAAACCTATATAAAATTCTGAACGTATACGTACGTGAACGGACGATTTCAAAATAGACCCCCAGTTGGCTCTCCTTTAGCCCTAAGAACTTCATTCATACATTTTTCCATGGTGCCTATTAATTTTTATGTAACAGTTGAGTCAATACTATTCCATACTTCAAGAATTGCTGTTTTCAATTGTTATTTGTTTCGAGTTTGATAATTTTTTAGACTTCTACCTATTTAATCCCATAAATGTTTTATAGCATTCATGTCTGGTGATTGCGGAGGTATGTTAAGTTACTTTAATACTCGGAATAATGAACATTCTTTAACTTTTTTGGCGATATGCTTTTATTGCCAATATTTAGTTTTTCAACACTTGCATGTATATTATTTCTCAAAATGTTTAAATAAACATTATACCATCGATAAATACCAAATTACCAACACTTGCAGTGCTCATACAGCCCCAAACTAATACATTACTACTCCCTTGGATTTACCGTCGGGTACACATTTTTGTAATCCATTTGCTTGTTAGGTTTTCTCCCCACCATAACTCGCCCATCTGAACCAAAAATATTAAATTTGCTTTCATCACTAAATAATACAGATTTCCAAAAATAATTTACCTTGTTTATGTGTGCCTTTGCAAAATCTAAACGTTTTTTTTTATTTAATTCACTAATAAAAGGTTTTTTTCCTAGCTACACAACGTTTATATCCTGCGTTTTAACTAAACGCGTTAAATAATGCGTTATCATTACGAATCGTCTGAGGTACAACTTTTACATTATAGTCATTATCAATCATACCAGCAAGTTTTGGTGCACTGGTTTTTGGTTCCGTCACAATTTTTCTTAAAATGGCCTTCCTGTGAGGTGATTTCAATTTTTGGAGACGACCACTGCGTTTTCGATCTTCGAAAGAATCAGTTTTATTGTATCGGTTTATTATAAATTGTACAGTGAGAATGTCATTTTTTTATTGTTTGTGCAATATTTCCAAGAGAATTACCATCTTCTCTTAGTTTAATTACTAATTTGCGAATTGCAATTGGTATTTCCATTGTTCAATGTATGTAAACTGAATAAAATGCGCTAAGCGTTTGTCTACCGTCCCCTTAATGGCTACAGTAACAATGATGACATGCACTCAGATATGTGGTACTTCATACATATAAGGTTATATGGGATTTCCCCATTATTCTCCTATTTTTATCTGTAATTCATAGATATCTATAAATGTATGAAGACTTTTTTGCTGTCATTTTCCTAAAATTTAACTTTTGAGTCGCTATTTTGTTGTTGAAAAAATTTGACATCGGTGTATGGAGACTTTTTTGACCCACTATATGGCTCGCAGTCCTTAGTCAGTCATTCATATTTATTTAATTTATGACGAAGAAACGAAAAGTTTTAAATAATTCTATGGTTTATCTTATAACAATATTTTTTTTATTTAAGAAAACCACGGTCAAATATAAAAATTAATTTAATGACATTCTCCAAAAATTATATACATACACAAAAAATTATTTACATGAAGTTTTATTGGAACTGATTCCATTAATTTATAATTGAACTAAGTTTGTTGATGAATCAATATCTTGAAATGAAACAGGTGTTGCTTCCTGGTCTTCTTTGATTCCTGCTTTTAAACCTAATAGCGTAATTGTTGTTATTAATAAGCGGTGGAATATTTCAACCATTCATTTAAATTTTAGATAAGATGCAATTCTCAGTTTAGTAAATCTCATAGATTCAGAATTTTTTTTATAAATTGCAGAAGTAAATTGTTTGCCAAAATCATTGGAAATAAAAAGAGGGACTCCAAAACGTGAAATACACTGGGAATATGATTGCAATTATTGATTCTGCAGTGATATCGGTTATAAGTACAACTTAAAGCCATCTTGTAAACTTATCAATTATTGAAACACAATATGTGTAACCTTGATCTGTGATTGCTTTCCTTTAATCTGTGACATGCTGAGAGAACCTACAATATCAACATGTATATGATAAAAATCTTTTACTTACTAAATCAAATTTTTCATGAGGTTTAATTACATGTCAGTGAAATTTTGCACATAGTTATATTTAAATATAGTGAATTATTTGGAGTTTTTATTTTTTATGAATTAATTTAATCATATTGAAAAATCTGTACCGTGTTTGATCGACTATTTTGGCTACGTACACTACTAGGAGAACATGACCGAGAACTGTCCTAACTCTTCTACTTTACGAGATAATGATGTAATTTGGTTACTAAATGAAGCGATAATGTTATCTTTATCAACCTATTCGTTCTTAATGCTTAAAATTTGACCAAAAACGTTTTTTATTTTCGCTACTTTATAAATCGTTTCTAGTAGTTAAAATAGTTTATCAGGAAGCCTCTGCAATCCTAGATTTTATAGTATTTTTTCAGAAAGTTTTCCAGCAGCTAAATGTTTTATCTCTGCTAATAGATGTGAAGGTTTTTGATCTCCATGTTCAATTTTCTTCTGCGATTTATGTAATTTGAGATCTTTAGACTCCGAAAATTATTCAATAATACGTTCTTTAAGGGCATTTTACAAATTTGAGTCAGGGGGTTTAGCACAATATCACAAACCTAAAATAAAACTGCACTTCTAATAGCGCAATCAAGTGATGAAATTTTGTTGTGTCAGATGAGATGTAGTTAGTAATAAATTGTGATTCCACTTGATTAAACCACAACATAAGAATACTTTTCCAAAAAGGAGCTCCGACTTTTTATTTTATAATTTTTATTTTTTGTTCTGGAATATTTTCCACGCCAACATTATTTCCTTCCATAGCATTCATTTTCTTTAATTTAAATACTTTAAATTCCTCTTTTAATTGTTGAACAAGGTCAACACTATGGTTTATCTTACAATTATATATTTTTAATTTAAGAAAACTATATTCAGGAATAAAAAATAATTTTATGAGATTCTAAAAAAATGATATACATGCACAATAAAAGATAAAAAACCCAGCACAGGGGGGTCGCGGCACAGTGGTGACGTGGCATAGTTGGATCAAGTATAATAATATCTGACAATGATTAAAATCACTATCAAAAAAAAAAACGCTTCGATGCAAATCTTTAGATAGTGTTTAATTTTAAAAAATTGGTGGATTATTCCAAAAGCTTCATAAACTGCTAGTTCCTTATTAATATCCTGATTAAGATAAAGTATGTCGAATGAAAAAGGGATTATTAAAAAATAGTATTTCCCATAAAAAAATTATATTGATCAATACACTAATGGGTAATATCTTCGACTAGATACGATTTGTGATCTTTTGACGTATCATTGAAAGAAATCGGTTCGGTGAGAGCTGAGAAAAAGTGGTAACAGACACAAAAAAAAAAAAAAAACACATCATAGTAAAACCAATACCTTCTCAGCTTCGCATCGAAGCTAAAATGTCAAAAATAAAATCGAGAATTTTCACACAAAAATAGCATTCGGTAGCCATTTTCACCATAAAGACAAAATAAAGTCCGAATTTTTTATTTTTTCATAATAAAAAATATTATATAATCTTTAATTTAAGGTATATATAAAAGTGTCAGACCTTCCGGAACACTTTCAAATGTTAATTTTTTGTGAAAAGTTGTCATTTTATATCCCCCTGTGTACAGGAAAGGGTCAGATTTACAAAAAAAACATACCAAATGATAGGTAAAGACATTAAGTATCTATAAAAAAATAAATTATATTGATTTATTCATTTTTAAGAAAGTTATAGCAGTATTAAGTAAAAAAAATTTCGAAAAAAGGGATTTTAAAATTTATAATTTTTTTAAATTACTGGTAAAACCAATACCTTTCTCAGCTTCGCATCGAAGCTAAAAAATAAACATTTTTTCATATTTTATTAACCTAGAAAAACATAATATATAATAGGTTACATGGTAACTATATTGTAAGTTCCTGTTACAATTGTTTACTGTTAAAGTATTTTATTTTCTACCTCAAATATTTCCATATTAAAAAGTTAACTATTTCTAAGTTTTTTCGTTAACAAGAACTTTTTATTATATATTATTTAATGTGGGTAAAAAATATAGATAAATTTGTTAAATATGTTAAATATGTATTTATAACCAATGGCAGATTTTCAATTTTTTTCGGGGTTATTGAAATAGTTAGGGAGACTAAGCTTCTCCTCCTCGTAAGATATTGAACCCTGTTATTGAATATTAAATAATGAAATTCACTTCAACTGTAGCCAATTACTTGGAAGTATGTCATTCTTATTTAAATTTTAAGTTCAATGTAATTAAATTTTTTTTTTATCAATCTCACCTGATGCCAGCTTGATGGTTGATCAAGTGAAGTGACTATTAAGAGAGGAAATGCAGTTAAAACCGCTATAATCCATACTAACAATATTATGAATTTGGCGTGGTATCTGCTAGCCCTTGGTTTTAATGGCCATAAGATAGCTATGTATCTATCAACACTTATAGCTACTAATGTATAGGCACTAACCTGAAAACAAATTAATCAAGTTATAACTCATATTTTGTTTTTATAATTCAAGTATGTAATACCAGTTATAAACAGTGTTGTTAAAAAACATATTAAAAAAAAAACTTGTTTAAAACATAAGTATACAGTTTAAATCGTTTTTGGTTAAGAGTTTTGATATAAGCTTATGAGTTATGTATCCATAACTAATAATTTTAAACATTTATACTTTTAGTTATTTAAATTAAGATAGCTAGCGTATCTGAATATGTTACACACTGAATTTTTTAACAATATTTTTAATCAAAATGCGTAGTAAAAACCCTCGAAAATATATATAATAAAAAATTAGAAAAAGAGTTTTTTGTTATTTAATTAAAAAATTTTTAATAAAAATTTTACTTAAAATGTATGTTGACATTCAGTTTTATTATCTTGTATACATTATTTGTTTAAACCTTTTATCTAAAACTAAAGGTTTTTAAAAATTTAAAGAAAATATCAGATAGTCCAATCCAACATGATTATAGGTTTTGTAAAACCTATTAAATTACCAATTTGTAATTTCATTATATTTATTTTATAGAAGTTAGATGTCACACGCATAGATTTTTCTGGATAACGTAGACTTGCTGTTTAAGCGATAAACTTTAAGCAATATTTTATATTCAAAACAGGATAAATTGTTGACGCAAGTACAAATTTCATATATTAAACTTTTACTAACTTAAATTGTGAATTGTTTTATCGTTTAATGATTTTCATTTATGGATAAGGCACGTACGCTGTCAAAATATATGTAGTATAGAGTAAGTTTTGTGCTATTACAAATTTAATTTTACTGTTTGAATAAAAGCCGATGGTGATTATTTTTCAGGGTGACCTATTGTTAATCAATTTGGAGTAGTCAGCCTAAAGGAATTAACTCTAAAAAGAAGCGACTTACGGAAAGCCATTAATGTTATTTAGCTAAAAAAATGCGTGTCACTGATAAAAAACTGTTAGTATTCTACGCGGATAGTGTTATTATCGACGTTGGGATGTTTTAGTAATTGGGAAATTACTTGGTTAATGCAAATAATTTAACAATTATAATAATATTGTTTTTGTACTTCGAAGAAAAGATTCAATGTAAATAACTCTGAGGTAGATTTTTATAACTTAATAAAGATTAAAAGTCTCTCATTATTGCTACGATTCTGTCTTATGACATTATTTATTAGATGTTGCAAAATTTAATTTTTGAAATTTGTTATTTTTGAATATTAAAAATAACTACGCTATTGAATATATCAAATAACAATACCATTGATCTATATTAATCAACTTTTAATTAATATGCTAATTTCTTTTATTCTAATATTTATAATTACTTATAACTTAACGAGTTAAAAATAATGTTAACTTATCCAAGCTTAGAAAAAATTTTTTTAGATAAATCCATTGCAGTATGGTGGTTTCTCTTGAGTTTGAATTGTACGTAATATAGTTACGTTTTTTTTTTTTGGGATGTAGAAGAAAAATTGTATCTTTATAATGTTATCACTTTCACACCTTTTGACACAGGACCTACACAAAATCTATCGTCGGTACTGTTAATTATGAAATAAAGTTTCCATTGTTTCTGCTTTACAAATCTTAGTTAAAAAAAGTTTAAAGTAACGAAATGAGTGATCATATTCAAATCAGAATATTGTTTATTCAAGATACATATTATAACTACAATAAGTTACTAAAAGAGTGGTCATTAGGATATGGCTTACTCTAGATAATCTACATAACCATAATTTTTCAGACCAGCTGGTTGGGTTCACGTAGTTCTGAATTTTTTCTGTACGATTATTTCATAATACATTATTATAATGATACTTAAAGTAATTAAATATAATGGATTAAAAATAATAATTTAATAAAAGTTGAATATAGATTTATACATTTATTTATAGCATTAATTGTAACTATAATATCAATAAAGTTCCTTAAAAATATAAATTTTCAATTGTATATATGAGCCTTAAGATTGTTATTAAATAATTAAACTCCTATTTCATATATTATCATTTAATTATTTTTTCTATAAAAATTATTATTTAAAAATTTATTCGTAAATAGTTTTAATATCAAAAAACGTCAGTTGTGTGGTATATAAATAGTCATAAGAACCGTAAAATAATAACAATTACACATTTATAAATAAATCAAGCATTTTCTTTAAAATGTTTATCTTACTCGGATATTTAGAATCGTTTTCTACAAATTTTAAACAAAGTATGCTAAATGCATTGATAGATTTGTATAAAAATATAATATAAAGAATATATTATATGTGTAAAAATAATAGAATATTCTTTACATGAATTTTGTGAAAAGAATGTATCTTATTAAAAAAAACTTTTCACGTAAAATTGCACTAATCAAATATCCTATTCTACTGTTGTAAATTTAGTGAATAGGAATAAACTAGGTACAAAGTATAACATCAATAGACTTTCCTCTAAATTTAATTTTAAATTTAAAGTGTAGCTTGTGGTGCATTTACACTAAAATAGCGATGAAAAATGTTTTGAATCGACGGCCCTGGGAATTAATATACATTTATATTTCATAAAATGTCATTAATGTAGAATTTAAATTATATATCTTTGAAAATAGCGAAATTTTTTTTTAAATATGTTATTTTTATTAAAATCATTAATAAATTTTAATTAGGTAGAAAATCTCTTTATTAATTTGAAGCGGTGTACATATTTAAGTTAATATGATATCTTTTTAAATAAAATCATACCAGTACTGCAATTGCTTGTGCAAAACTGACTGTATGACACAGATCATTGCCAAATGGCCAATGTTGAAGAATAAGCGTAGCGACAAAGGAGAATGGTACACAAAAAATGGTCATGAGGAGATCACCGACTGCCATATTCATTATAAATAGATTGGTAACGGAGCGCATTTGTGATGAGAACATAACCACGTAACACACTAGGCCATTTCCAACTAGTGCTATAAAAAATACAATCGAGTACATTAAATAAACGATAGTTTTAAAAGCTATTGATTCTAATGGGCCGTCTACTGTGTCTTGACATGATATTCCGATAATTTTTTCTGAAATATTTGACAATTCCACGACACTTACGTTAATTTTTTCCATAACTTTAAGGAGAACTCAAATTGTGTAAGCTACCTGTAAAATAAAAATAAAAAATATTAAGTAATGTAATAAGTAAAAAAAAAAATACCAATATTAAGATCTATATAACGGTATTCCAATAAATCAACGGTCCTATTAAGAAATAAATGAACATCTAATACCGAAATTAATATGGCACGATTAAGCAAAAAACAGATTTTAACATCCAAGGTAACAGTAAAAAATAAAAAAACTTGCATAATAAAAAAATTTTTACACCCTCAAATTTTGTATGTCCTTTTTTTAACATTACTCATTATGTATCTTTTTGGTTAAGTATATTTTGCAAAAAAGATTTTTACTGAGTTCCTTTGAACGTCTCATTTAAATAGGACTCTGTAGTTCAAATAGTACATATGAAACAAATTGAATCTGTGGAATTGGTACACTAAAAAAAAAAGTTCCAAATTGTTATATATATGTGTTGAAACTTTTTAACACATACAATATATGGGAAAATTTGAATAAATAGTGATAAAAATGTTATATTTGTACATATATTCAGTATTTTATGTTAAAATTACACTTGTGTGTACAATTAACGTGTATATTAAAAATATTATACTGATGAATGGGAATTTTTAGATTATGTCCTACAGTGAAGGTAGTTTATTTTTACTCGTCTCCATATAAAAATCTGATGTGTTAGTCCTGTTAATTGTGTAAATTTTACACTCATGCAGGCTAATGTACAACAGAACGACAAAGATGGGAAAGCCCACATTGACATATAGTTGACTAGAATATCAATAAATCGGTCGAACAAGCATCACCATCATTACTTTTAAAAATTATTACATATTGTTAGCAGACAAGGCGATTTCAATGGTACAATTTAATTGACAAAATTATTTGAAGTAATAAAAAAAAAGCTAAACATAGTTCTAAACGTTTGCAAGTTCCAAATTGTCATGAGACCGATATAATTAATTTTTATTGATCATTGGTAATACGCAACGATCATCTAATGTAAATACATGTGTCGTAATATAAAATTTGATGAGGTTTGATTCATTACGCTACTATAGCATTTTATTGCTCATCGTTATCTAATACCAAAACAGACGAAAAATAAAAAAAACTATTGTTAAAATAAAGTGATGCACAAAGGCTGATAATTAAATAAACCAGATAGTTTAAAAAATGAGTAACTTATAAAACTGATTTTGTTTTTTATTTTTAGAAACTACTGTCGTTTTAATTAATTTTAAAATACAATCGACTTTATATATTAGATTTAAAGAAATTGTATTAAAAATAATTAAAAAAACGGTAGCACAGTGGGATCGCGGCACAGTATGGACGTGGCATAGTTGGGACAAGTATAGATTTAATCTGACAGTGATTAAAATCACTATCATAAGAAACGCTTTAATGCAAATCTGTAGACAGTGTTTAATTTTAAGAAATTGGTAGATTATTTCAAAAGCAACAATAACTCTTAATTCCATAATTTTACCCCGATTAGTTATTTGATTTACAATTACAATATATGAATAAATAATAATTATGGTAATTAAATTTAGTATGAAATTGATATTCAATAATTTAATATTGCAATTTTTACGGATATATTATAAAAATAAAAAGGAGTTGTAAAAAAAGTATTTACATATAAAAAAAAAAATAATTAAGAACAAAAAAAAATTGTTTTAAATTAATACTGATTTTGATTATTAATAAGTTAAAATAAGGAAAATGATATATTCAACCTATTTTTTTAATTGTTTAAAGTTGATTTTTGTGAATGTTTATAATAAAAAAAAATTTATTTATTTTACCATAACTTTTAGCTCAATTGGCAAGTTTGAAATTGACATCATTAAATAGAAACTTTTATGAGAATTAAAAAAACTGTACCGTAAAGATTAATATGCAGTTAGGAAGTTTTATAATTACTATTTATAGTAAATTTATCAGAGTAGCTAAATATTTTTTTGTATTTTTATCGTAATAGATAACTGAAATAGAAATAATAGTAATCATTACCTAGTAACTTTTGGTGTTTAAAAAGATTCTACAATTGAAATATTCAGAACTTAATTAATTTTAATGATTTATTTTAACTAAATGAACCAATCAAAACAAAGATTGACTCAATTGAGCGTATTATAAAATTTGATTATAATTGTAAAAATCCATTGTTAATTCAGGAGAAATTAACTATCACTTTTTTTAGAAATGATTTATATAGCAACATTTTATCAAAAAATTTGGAATATTATAATCTAGTAGTAGCACACACAAATAGAGTAAAAAAATTATTAAATTACAAAGTAAAATGATTTAATTTTGTAGTTGAAACCTATCATATCAAACTTCATTCGTTAATAAATATTTTGAAAACATTAGAAATTAATGATTTTAATTGTCTTTATGGAGACGATGTAATAACTAACTGTTTAATTGATAAATTAGATATATTTTTTCAATTTTTGAGGGTAATATCATCAACTAGATACGAATTGTAGTCATTGGACGTATCGTTGAAAAAAATAGGTCAAGTTAGAGCAGAGAAAATAAATGATATTCACAAAAAAACATCTTCTCGGCTTTGCATCGAAGCTAAAACTTAAAATATAGTAAAATAATTTTAATACGAATAAGAAATTTCTTCTTGCAAGGGGCGACTAAAGTGATGGGATCATTGATCTTTATTGAAGTTATTGAATCTAAATGAGTTAAAAATTTCAGAGTACTTGTGTCTTGCACTTCGTCTGCACCTCGTACTCTGTTATCTTTCCTCACCTGGTACGCCTAGTATTTGTGTCTTGCACTTCGTCTGCACCTTATACTCGGCTACCCCGTTCTCTCTCTGAAGTACTTGTGTCTTGCACTTCGTCTGCACCTCGTACTTCATTATCCTCTCCTAATAACTAAAGTACTTGTGTCTTGCACTTCGTCTGCACCTCGTACTTCATTGTCCTCTCCTATACCCCAAGTATTTGTGTCTTGCACTTCGTCTGCACCTCATACCTAGGTGTTACTCTTATTCTCCCTTCCTATAACAACAGCCTTTCGACACCCACAGCTAACCCGGAGTGTCAGCCGAGCACGGTGACTGCTGTACGACAACACGCACGTGAATACCTAGACAGCAGGCACCACCTCCTCATATTCATCTTCGTACACATAGTTTCACATTTACCTAATATCATTTTACTTTTTACTGTGTTACGACAATACGATTTGTGATCTTTTGACATATTATTCATTAAAATCGGTTCAGTGAGAGCTGAGATTGAGTGTATACAGACACAAAAAAAAAAACACACCATAGTAAAATTAATACCTTCTCAGCTTCGCATCGAAGCTAAAAATCTTAATAAAGTTTTTACTATTGTAAAATTTTAATACATATTTTTTAATAAATTATATACTTTTCCTTTGGATGTGTATTTTTAATTGAAATTGATTTTAGATTTGAAAACTTTATAATATGTATAAATTATTACTATAAACATTTTTTATTGTTTTAATAATTTATTAAACTGCTTTTAGATTACCTTATTGTATTTTCATTTTCTGGTTGAAACTTTAACTATCATAAGTTAATATATTTATGAAAATTTTTACAAAATATATGATAAGTTAAAATAATACATTTTATACTTTATCTTTTGGTAACATCATTTTTTTATTAATTCTAAGAAAAATAATAAAGCGTAGTCTTTTGTAGGTACTTATTTTGTGTGGTAACAGCTGCAGAAAGTTTTTATGATTTAGTGTAGCTTGGTTATTTAATTGATAACGAACGTTTGTTATTAGTCTACTAAAAATAGTTATTTCGTGTGAATGTGTTCATTGAATAAAATAAAACTTGAAGAATTTAAACTTATCATATAATAACATTGCATATGTTATTATAATCTTGTATCATTGATATTGTAGTATAAGTAACAATAAAAGTATATAGGAAAGTGATACTAAGATTGTAACCATGGAAAAATAATGTCCATAAAATCAAATCCATAAAATATTTATAGTTTTATAAAATCATTATTTTAAAATAAAAAATTCTGTTAAAAATTTGTATCAATTAAATCTTAATTGAAATGTAGGACCGTCTAAGAAAAGTGTAAAAGATTTCATTTTATGTTTTATATTTTTCAATAATTAAGGTTGCTAAAAAAACTTTAAAAAAATTGTTTAATATAAATAATTTAGTTGATAAAATATTTGTTTTTAATGCGGTTCTGAAATTGAAAGTAATTTAAATTATTATAAGGATATTTCATTAAGTTAAGATTCAATATCCAATTTTTTATCTCAAAAGTCAACGAATTAAGTAAAATGAATTATTTGTCTTAAATAAAAGTTTTAAATGTTATAAATTTATACTATTAGTTATATTGAAATAGAACTATAATTTTATTAAGTAGTTTTTTATTAAATTTGTAAGGCTTTTTAAAAAGATAGGTTTAGTGAGGAACTTTTTACATTCGACATGATTCAGTTTGTATAGTAAGCTATTTAATATTTCATATAAAAGAAAACTCGTATATTAAAATCATATAAAAAATCAATTTGCAAGTGAAATCTGGCATAGACTAACATTTTTTCTCATGCAACCTCGATTTAACACTATCGTATATTTTTTGAGTTCTAAGATGTTGATGGAATTTTGCTATCTCAGTTACTAACTGTTTTAATTCTAAGCCAATAATTGGTTTACGATAGTTTTTATACAAATATTATAAATAATACATTTATTATAATATTATTTTCTTAAAAATCAAACAACTTTTCACAGACTTTGTAAAATTACAATTGAATAGTTGAGTGATTTAATATTTATTTGTATGAATCTTAAAAGACTGTTGAAACGACTTTTATAATTAAAAATTAAAAGTTTCTTAACGCTGTGAAGGATTTGTCGAAGAAAAACAGTTTTAGTCGCCATAGAACTGAACAGATGTTTTGTTAATAAAGATTAATCTTTCTAGCGTAATATTTATTAATTTTATGAATTGTCATATATTTTTTTGTGTCAA